TATGGATGCATGGATGCTTGGATGCATGGATGTATGAATGCATGAACGTATGGATGCATGGATGCATGGATGTATAGATGCATGAACGTATGGATGCATGGATGTATGGATGCATGGATATATGGATGCATGGATGTATAGATGCTTGGATGCATGGATGTATGGATGCATGGATGCTTGGATACTTGGATGCATGGATGTATGGATGCATGGATATATGGATGCATGGATACTTGGATGCATGAATATATGATGCAAGAATACATGGATACTTGGATGCATAGATGCTTGGATGCAGGAATGTATGGATGCGTGGATGCTTGGATGTATGGATGTATGGAAGCATGGATGCTTGGATGCATGGATGTATGGATGCATTGATGGAATGTCACCCCATCTACCCCATGAAGTCTTCCTTGACTACATGAGGCAGTTTGTTCTGTGACGGTCCTTCCTACCTACATACCTCAAACACAACACTTACTCTACCATTGCATTATAACTACTTGTTCATAAATCTTTCCCTAACATTGGACTATGAGCTCTCTAAGGGCTAATATTGTGTTTTCCTTAGTCCGAACTCTTATATCTCAATAAGGCTGGGAAAAAAAGAAACAGAGAAGGCATACGTAGTAATAAGAGAAATAAAAAAGGGGATATCACCCCATATCCTGCAGACTTTAAAAGATAAGGGGGTATTATGAACAACCTTACATGCTTCTGACACATTTCCTTCTGAATCACCCAGTCTCAAGCCTATCTCTGTGCACTAGTGAAGTTGTTCTCGAGTCACCAGGGCCACAGTCCAATGACCTTTCCCATTCCTCAACTCTCTTGATCTCCACGTGCTACCAACCCTTCTTCCATCTGAGCGTTTCCTTCTTGCTGTGCTCTCTTAGATGTATCTTCCTCCACTTCTCTTGCCATCAGAGGTTCTTCTTTCTCCCACCCCAACCCTGCTCCTCAATGGTGGACCCCTAGAAATACAGTAATTCCCTTCCATTTTCTCTCTTTCTGTTCACTCTCTTAGGAAGCTTCTTCAGCACTGCTTCAGTCGTTTAAGCAGAGAGAATTTGTTGGGGCACCTGAGTGGCTCAGTTGGTTGAGCGACTGCCTTCGGCTCAGGTCATGATCCTGGGGTCCTGGGATCGAGTCCTACATCGGGCTCCCGGCTCAGTGGGCAGTCTGCTTCTCCCTCTGACCCTACCCCCTCTCTCATGCTCTCTCTCTCTCTCTCAAATAAATAAATAAAATCTTAAAAAAAAAAAAGTAGAGAGAATTTGGAAATTAATGGTTCTAGCCAGACTTTTCACTGGGAACACAAAACTGAAGAGGCTGGGCTCCATAACGCTATGGTCTACTCTTTACCTGGCTTTTGGTTTCTAGTAAGTATAAATGGACCTTTTTGGAAACCTAATGAAAACCATGGACCATCTCCCCAGAAAAATAAATAATTCACAGAATTTTGCATGTAAATTTAGACTAGGGACCTCAGTTAAGAAGGCATTGCTAAGACTGTTGAATCACAGATCTGTACTTCTGAAACAAATAATGCAAGATATGTTAAGAAAAAAGAAAAAGAAGATAGGAGGGGAAGAATGAAGGGGAGTAAGTCGGAGGGGGAGACGAACCATGAGAGATGATGGACTCTGAAAAACAGACTGAGGGTTCTAGAGGGGAGGAGGGTGGGGGGATGGGTTAGCCTGGTGATGGGTATTAAGGAGGGCACATTCTGCGTGGAGCACTGGGTGTTATGCACAAACAATGAATCATGGAACACTACATCAAGAACTAATGATGTAATGTATGGTGATTAACATAACAATAAAAAATTAAAATAAAAAGAAGGCATTGCTAGAAGAGTCATACTGATTAATGACTTGTACTGAATCACATGTTCATTCTCAATTTGTTCCCCAACTCCACATAGCATTCCTTGTATGTTGATGTAAAATATGTTTCTTATATGTCATTAAAAAATGGCATGGCTCTGAATAAATATTTCTCCAAAGAAAATATAAAAATGGCCAATAAGCACATGAAAAGATGCTCACCATCATTAGCCATCAGGGAAATGCAAATCAAAACTACAATGTGCTACCACTTCACACCCACTAGGATGGCTATAATAAAAAAAGACAACAGCAAGCATTGATGAGGATGTGAATAAACTGGAACCCTCATATGCTGCTGGGGGAAGAGAAAATGGTACAGTCCCTTTGGAAAACAGCCTAGCAGTTCCTTAAAAGGCTAAACATAGAGTTACCATATGACCCGGCAATTCACTCCTGGGTACACACCCAAGAAAAATGAAAACATATCCACACAAAAACTTGTATACAGATATTCATATCAGCATTACTCATGATAGCCCTGAAATGGAAGCAACCCATATACCCATCGATTGATAAAGTGTGATACATTCACACAATGGGCTCATTCAGCAGTAAAAAGGAATGAGATACTGATGCATGCTACAAAGTGGATAAACCTTTAAAACACTGTGCTAAGTGAAAGAAGCCAGTCACACAGGGCCATGTATTATATGATCCCATTTATGTGAAATAACCAGAATAGGCAAATCCATATCCAGAGAAAATAAACTTGGGGTTGCCTAGGACTACAGGAGGTGGGTGGTTTGGGGGGAATGACAGCTCATGGGTACAGGGCTTCTTTTTGGAATGATGAAAATGCTTTAAAATTGATTGTGGTGATGGTTGCACAAATCCGTGAATACACTAAAAACCACTGAATTGTACAAGTCAATGGGTGAATAACATGGTATGTGAATTCCATCTCAATAAAGCTGTTAAACACTACTTCGTAAAAATATGTATGAGGCACTAACTGCAAAAAATGGATAAAGTGGACACCATCAAAATGAAAACATTCTACTACTCAAAAAACATCACTTAGAAAGGAAAAAGCAAGCCACAGACTGGGAAAAAATATTTGTAACATATACATCTGACAAAGGACTTATATTCAGAATATATAAAAAATTAATAGTAAGAAGATAAACAACCTAATTAAGAATGGGTAAAAATGTGGGGCGCCTGGGTGGCTCAGTCAGGTAAGCAACCAACTCTTGATTTCAGCTCAGGTCATGATCTCAGAGTTGTGAGATCGAGCCCAGCATTGGGCTCTGTGCTCAGCAGGGAGTCTGCCTGAGATTCTCTCTTGCCCTCTCCCTCTGTCCCTCCCACTCTCTAAAATAAATCAATAAATCTTAAAAAAAAAAAAAAGGGCAAAAACGTATGTCTATGGTAACTACAGGGAGACAGAACAGGATGCTTGGAGGACTGCTGCTCTGAATCTGAAAAGGCTGTCACAAGCTGACCCTGAAGAACGCCACCAGAGATACCTAATCTGGATGTGGGCAGACTGACAGGTGACATGAGAATATCAGAATAGCTATTACTGATTACATATATTGTGAAGACTTTTACCACGGTGTTTTAAAAAAGATTCCTCACACGAAGTGGCTGTTGAAAAGATAAAGTGGATACATGAAAGAGAGAGAGTGCCTGAGTACATACACGAGTTACACGGCTCTAACTCATAAACTACTGGAACATTCTGTCAGGACCAGACACATCAGGCCTGTACAACATGAACCCAATAGCTGGCCATCCAACTGCCAGAGTGTAAACATAATACGGATTCTCCATACCACAGGACACTCAAAAAACCCTGCCAAGCCCACCCCCTCACGCCAGATTCTTCTGCCAAAAGACCCCAAAAACAAGTGGAAAAAAACTTAGCCATAAATGCAAACTTCTGCCAACCGAGACAGTATCTTCCCTTGAAAAAAGGAGAAAAAGCACAAGGAGGAAAATATCCAGAAATCAATGCCACACCAATGTTTACCGTTGAGAGGGCAAGAGGTATAAATCAAAAGATAATTCTGTACTGCTCAACAGGACCCAGCTAGAAGAATGCTGATCCATGAATGTATTTCCCTAAGTAAGACAGAGCAGTTGAGCCACTGTCTTGGGTGGTTGGACACTGTCTCCTTCCTCTATGTAAGATTTAAGAGGCCATAAATCAATGAGAGCTATGCTTTTGGCTTCTGATGTGAGAGACAGCAGTGAAAATCTGGTTTGGTTGCAATGGGCAGAATTTCGAACGGGCACTACAGAGTTTGGAGCCCAGGACACAGACTGGGTTCCTCTGGCCGGCACTGGATCCATCAAGGCAGAATGTCCTAAGAACTCACTTCACCCTCTGGCTCTCTCTGAGACAGAAAAGACAGTAACTCAGGTAACTGAGCCATGGTCTGAGAGGAATCACCAACACACAACTCATGCATTCACGTACAGAGCAAACATTGATTGGGAGTCTACTCAACACCAGTCGCTGAGATGAGCACCAGCAATACAATGATTAATAAAATAAATTCAGTTCTGAGGGAGGAAGATAGAATTCAACAAGCTGTTATGCAGGACCTAGGTGATTACAAGTGTGATAAATGTTACTCAGCTCCTGCTGACTGTTGTCACATGGGAGTGGAGATGGCCTGAGGGCCAGAGCTGACTCTGAATGGCCTTTGTTCCCTTTTTTTTTAAGAACCAAAAGGCCAGAATGGGAGCTCCAATAGCAAGGTCAGACCAATGGCCCCTACAAACTTGCTCACACCACCAAAGGGAAGCAATGCCACGTGATGCCATTAAAAGCTGTTTAAGTCTTTGGATTCCGAGCCTGGCAGTGAGGCCTATTCACACTGGATAATAGAGGATAAAACAAACACACGATATAATCCCTCTCCAAACACACGTACACTAATGCATGAGCCAGAAACGTTGTCTCTCTCGCACTTTCTCTCTCCCTCACACATGCACTACTTTATACTCATCTATGTACGTACCACACACCATCACATGCGTGACACATACTCCCAGCCTCACACCTCCAGAGGTGTGTACACACATCACATCAACAGACCCACAGACACACACACACACAGAGGCCCCCATACCAGGCTGGCTGTTCCACTCCTCACTTTCTGGGGTGCGAGCAGTGGGTTGGCCCTCTGGATCCTTTCCTTCTTCTTGCTTCTCCTGTGGAAGGCAAGCCTGATTCCTGTCCTCATGGGTTGGGGTGAAGCCCCAGCCTCTATTCCAGGCCCCTGCCTGGCTCTCTGGTCACACGGTATTCTGCCCCAAACAAGGGGAATTTCTTCTAGGCTACCGGCAGGCACAAAGCTCCAGCGGGGCAACCCCCGACCACGTGGACACAAACTCCCGTGAGCATACAGCCCCTAGTTTCACAGTCTGACTACAATCCTCCTCATTCCTCAGATCTGCTGTGTGTTGATTTTACTTGCCCACTGGAGCTTTCATGCTGTCTCTTCCAGCTTCTCTGCCTTCGGCCTCCTGACGGGGCTCCAGTGATGGAGCTTTTCATCTGCTACTCATCTACTTGGGTGCTGGTGTATGTGAATGTGACTTAGCCCTGACACTAGACTGAGATGGAAGCCCCAGAAAAGCAGGAGGGTGACTTAATCATTTTCTTCTAACTCAGTACAGGACCTGAGTCAAAATGGGACCCCAAAATACGATGAGTGAGTCATCATGTGTCTTCTCTGGCCCAGCCCCACAGCCTGGATTAATGGAGAGGATAGTGGTTATTGACAGGTAGCCTCTAGCCTCCCCTTCCTCTCCCCACTGCCCTCTTCCTACCAAGGCCTCAGGCTCTGACTCCTCCTCCGACGGGCTGTGGTATTCCCTGCGCTTCCTCTTCTTCATGGGTTTGAGAAGCTCAGAAGTGCTGGTGCAGGAGTTCTGGCCTGAGGAGTTCTCCACTATGACTGACCTGAAGGACAGATGGCCTGAGAGAAAGAACCACCCACCCTACACCACCCAGTCCCTCTCCTAAGCCCTGAGCAGGAATGGAGAATGGGGGCCCCCAAGGCAGAGCAAGTGGGGCTGCAATCCCCTCCCCCTTACCGCTCTTGGAACAGTGGCGGGCAGTCATCATTGGAGGAACCAGCAGCATCTGGACCCGCGCTTTGCTGAGGTCCACACTCCTGGCACTGACAAGTGCCATCATCTTCTGGGGGATCCTGGGGGGGATCTTCTGGAGGATCCTGGGGGAGGTCCGCTGTGGGGGCCAGAGGGGCCTCAGGCCTCCCATCCATCACAGCGACACTCAGGCTCCGCCCGCCTCAGAGCCCACGCCCCCTCTGGCTCCCCTGGACAGGCCCCCAACAGTCTTCTCTATCTTAGGACCAACCCCCGGGCGCACCCGCAGAACCCAGGCCACCCACTCCATCCTCCTCCACCCCCACAATGGAGATTCCTCAGGGAGCTCGGGCCTCGACCCGCCCGGGCAGAGCCCCAGCCTGGGGACTGGTGGGTCCTACCCGGCTGTTGGGTGCCCGCATCGCCACCTCCCGCCGGGGCCTCGCCATCTTCATATTCGGCCACACCTTCGGGCCGTAGCTCGGGGCTCGGGGGCTGCTCCGCTCCTACCATGTTCAGCGGTGCGTACTCGCTTATCCGGAACTGGAGCGTGGGAGGGTCTGAGGACTGGACTCCTGTACCCCCTCGACCCGCCTCTGATCGGCAAGGTCCCCTCCCGCCGCCTTACTCCGCAAGGCTCTGCTCTGGGTGCCTCCCTCCAAGCCACGCCCCTAGCAGCCCACCAGACCCCGAGCGCCTCCACCCAAGCCATGCCCCTGGAGTCCCTCACTCAAAGCCGCACACCAGAACCCTCCATCCCGAGCCCCTTCCCCCTCCTTCGCCTCGGGCCCCTCCTCCGGCCCGCTGGCCCCGCCCCACAGGTGGGGCTCGTAGGGCCCCCGCCAATCCCCACAGACACTGACCCGCAGGCCGCTCCCAGGAGGCGGGGCCGCAGCCTCGGTCCACTCCAGGAGCCCCACGGTGGTGGCGCTGGAGCTGGCCGCAGGCCCCGCGCTTAACTGCGGCAGAACGGTGGCCGTGACGGGGACGCTGCCAGCCACTCGCTCCGGAGCGCCCACATGGATCGTCTCCCGCGGAAAACAGGAAACATCCAGGGCACTGCTGGGCAGGCCAAGGGTGGCCGAGCCGGCTGCGAACAAATACACAGATATGACACAGGTGAGCCTGGTGGCCCTGCCCCATGCATGTGTAGGCAGGTGAAAGTATGTTCTTTCCGGGATCCACAACTCCCCCCAGGCCCCTGGCTTGGCCCACCTGGGATGATGAAGGCAGTAGCGGGCAGGTGAGAGCTGGAACCTGGACTGTCTCTGGCCACCAGGTGCACGTTGACCTCTCCCGTGGAGGGCCCCTTCAGTGTCCTCAGCATCTCCATTTCGGCATTCCCCTCCATCCTGGTAGGCCTGCAAGCTGAACACGACCCCCAGGGAGATCAGGGAGGGAGCAGGCTTCTTTGAGGAGGAGCTCGTCACCCTCAGGCTGGCAACCTGCAGAGAAAAGCCTCAGTCCTGAGGAGAGCAGGGTGTCTTAGGAGACCAACATTAAGTCTGGCTCCTGGCTCTAACCAGGTCACCCAGGTGAGGGCTCTGGCCAGGCCCTGCATCTCCCCCAGACTCTGGAAGATGGGCATGCGTGAGGGTGCTTTGTAAACTGTGATGTATAGGTACACAACTGACTCTGGGGAGTAGGTCTCAGGTCAAGGTTCTGTCTGGCCAGCTGTCAGTGACAGAGCCCAGGCTATGTCCAAACTCCCCTCTTCTCAACCCCCACCTCCAGCCCCAGTAGAATCAATCTCTTCTTCCTGGGGGGATTTAGAGCCCTCAAGTACCCGGTTCGATCTCACTCATAAGGTCCATTTTCCTAGGAGGTGATCTTTCCCAATCACATTCTTATATTCTTATATGCCCCCTGCCCACAACCCTTCCAACCCCAAGCACAGAGTAAGCACTATTAACATCTGTTGAACAAATGCATACATGTGAAAAGCAAAGAGGTGTTGTTTGAGAACCCAGGCAGTGCATGACTTTTCTATATAATAAAGCAAGGGCAAAAAAGGTATTTAACAAAGAGGTGGTTGAACAAGTAAATATATGCGGGATGAAAAAGACCTAACAACATAACTATACTTAGGATCTATCATTTACTTAACTCCTAAAACGTACTGGCCACTGTTCTAGCGCCGGTCTTACCATCACTGTCCAGAATTTTCTGTGATGATGTAAATGTCTTATGCCTACATTGTCCAACACACTAGTAGCCACTAGCCACACGTGGTTACTGAACAACTGAAATGTGCCTAGTGTGAATGAAGAACTGAATTTTTAAATTTTTATTATTATTATTATTATTTAGAATTATTCACTTTGCAGTTTGTTCAGGTTTTTCTTTTCTTCAAGATTTTATTTATTTATTTGAGAGAGACACAGCGAGAGAAGGAACACAAGCAGGGGGAGTGGGAGAGGGAGAAGCAGGCCTCCCGCGGAGCAGGGAGCCCGACGACGAGGGGCTTGATCTCAGGACTCTGGGATCATAACCTGAGCTGAAGGCAGACGCTTAACGACTGAGCCACCCGAGCACCCTAGAACTAAATTTTTTTAATCTTAAATTAAATAGTCACAGTGGCCATAGTTACTGTGTTGGGCAGCAAAACTTTACACATATTATAATTGGCCTGTCGGCTCTACTTGCAAAACACATCTCACAGTCTGACTTCTCTCCATCTCCTTGCTTCCCCGCGAGTCCCAACTGCCATCAGCTCTCCTTGGACTTCAGCAGCTGCCTCCTACCTCATCCCCCTTCCTCCTCTCTTGCCCCCTACAGTCTATTCTCCGGTAAGAGAAAGCTTTAAAAATGTAAGCCAAATCACATAATTTCCCTACCTAAAATCCTTCCCTTAGAATAAAATCAAAGTGCTTCCCCCTATAGAATGTGACCCGTCTTCCTCTCTGACATCCCCCACCACTCTTCGCCTGTTCCCCACCCCCACAAATACTGGTTTCCTTCTACTCACTGACAAATGTTCCCACCTTGGAGCCCTTGATCCTTGTTCTCCTCTCTGCTGAGAATGCACCTCCCTAAGCTCTCTGCTTGGCTGCCTGCTTCCCAGCCTCCAGGCCTCGGCTCAGTGGTCACCTCCTCAGAAGACATCTTTCATGGTCACTCGGTTTAAGCAGCAAACCCCTCACCCACACCACGAGCGCTCATCCCATTACTGTGTTTATTTCCTTTGCATCGTTCATTATAATCAATAATGATCTTCATTTACTTATTTGTGTGTGATCAGTCATCCCCATAGAAATAGAAGTTCCACGAAGGCAAAGACTTGTATCTGTCTCGTTCACTGCTATATAGCCAGCCCCTGGGGTAGTGCCTGCACACAGTAGCTGCTAAATAAATATGTGTTGAATTTCAGTAATTTCAACTTGTTAATAAAAAGCCCTGGATGTGTGATTGATACCTGGTTGCTCTAAGGAGTTGGCAGTCCTTGACAATGGCTTCTGGCATACAAGTTAAAGGAAAACATGGCCTCGGCTCAAGATAGACTTAAGACAGTGTGAATCTCAGCTCCAGCACTTAAAACCTGTGACTCTGAGTAAGTAGCTTACCTGACTTGAGCCTCAGTTTCCTCGGGTGTAAAATAAATGCAGTAGTGATATCTACCTCAAAAGGGTGCTGGTGAAGATCACATGCGAAAAACGTGTGAAGTCTCAGTAGCAGCAGGCCTTCAACAAACACCAATCCACTCCCTTTTAACAGAAATTCCAGGGAGCTTGGTAGCTTCTGGCCAGGAACATGGAAGGTGCTTGCTAGCAAAGTCAGCTTGGAGGGGTTGCCGTCTCTCCCACCCTCCTCCTACCTGCTGTTCTTGTGCGCTCATTTATTTTCCAACTTTTCCTCCCTAAAACAGAGAGTCCATCCTCTCTATTATATAATCAGGTAGGTGAAGGCTAGATATATAACCTGATTAATGAAGGCAACATTCAAACCAAGGTGTGTTTCCCTTTGTTAAAATTATAAAATAGAATTCCCTGAATTTCAACTCTCATTATTTTGCTTTGCACAGC